ACTAGGAAGGAAATAAACTCTATCCCTGCTGAAACCAGGACACCTTGTCTGGCTGCCAGGTGCCCACCAAGCTGCTCTCTCACACCCCCTGTCTCCCAGCAGGTTGGACTCCATGATCTTAAAGGTCTTTTCCAACCTCAGTGATTCTATGAAAAAAATAAAATGAAAAAGCTCATAGGTCAAGAAAGGACAGGGAGATCGCTTGCCATTTACCATCATGTGCAAAATAGACTTGACTTGGGGAAGATTAACTTCATTTATTGCCAACTACAATAGGATAGTGAGAAACAAAACCAAAACTAAAATTTCCCCCTACCCCCCCTTCCTCCCAGGCTCAACTTCACTCCTGACTCTTCCACCTCCTCTCCTCCCTGCCCGAGTATGGGGAAGCATCAGTTCCTAACACTTTGCCTCTGCCGCTCCTTCCCTGCTTCAACATGGGGTCCCTCCCACAGGATATAGTCCTTCAGGAATGACTCCAGCCTGGGTCCTTCCCACTGGCTGCAGTTCTTCAAGAACTGCTCCAGCGTGGGTCCTTTCCACAGAGTGCGGTCCTCCAGGAACAGAATGCTCCAGCATAGGTCCCCCACAGGGTCACAGGTCCTGCTAGAAAACCTGCTCCAGTGTGGGCTCCTCTCCACAGACCACGGCTCCTGCCAGAAGCCTGCTCCTGTGTGGGTTCTCCACAGGCTGCAGCTTCCTTCAGGGAATATCCACCTGCTCCGGCCTATACTGGTCTATACAGCTTTTGCTGTATATATTGCATGACTGTAGCACAATTATGCGTGTGACAGAGCCATCAGAACAGAGTACATCAAAGGACAGCTATCCTTTACATTTATTTACCAGATGAGAAATGCATTAATCAAGGCTCCCCGGGAACACAGCCTAGGTTTTCCACTCCCCAATACTCACGATCAAAACAGACTTGCCTTTTTCAATGATGAAGGCAGCCAGTGAACTGCCACAACTTTGGTACTCAGGATGTTTGGTAGTCAGGCTGTTAAATACTTCTTCAAGTGTTTGTGAAAGTTTTTGATATATAAGCTGTCTTCCTTCTAAATAAAACAGGAGAAGCCAGCAAGACACAAATTTGCAGGAGGGGGGGAAAAAAAGACATGATCAACCACTTGCAAAATTATAAATCTAAACACGTGGTAAAAGCGCTACTATCAACACACACTTTTGGGATTCTGAAGATTACCAGGACAGACATGAATAAATAAAGGACAAGAATACCTAAACACTTTATGCTTTTATTATTCATGATAATAAATCAGGGATATGGATCAAGTTTGATCACCTACTGCACACAGTATTTCAAGTAAGGACAGAAATACTGTTTCTATTTCTGTGACCAATTTACCACTTAAATTCAAGCAATTTTCTGAAGCTGTGTCCATTTGTAGAACCGATAGTCAATCTCCTACTTTAGTGACACTAATTCTTACAGCGTTCTTCAAAGGGAAGATATTTAAAGTATCAGTAACTTCAAAGAGATCACTAAATGTATTAAAAGAATAATTAAAAAGAAAAAAGAAAAAAAAAAGGCAAGCATTTGCTGGGTAATTTGAATCAATAGAGAAAAACAAAACTATTCCTTACCAAAACAGATCCTTGAAACACGAACAGAGTTTGCTGGAGTTTGGGGCTCAGCAGGAGTATAGGGAGGATCTAAGAATTTAACAAAATTTCAAACTGGGGTGGACACTGCAAATTTCAAAACATGGATCTCACACTATTCCCAGCAAGTTAAGTTTCTAATTCTCTAAGAATTTTCTTTTCTGATTTTGAAGTCCTTGTAAGCGTAGAACTATTTAGGCCACCCTTAAATAAGATAAACGTTATGGTAACTGAATTCTTTTGAAAGTAGTAACTCGGTGCTGAAGCTTTTAATCATTAAAATTCGAAACCACTTAGGATCAACTTCATGTTGCTGTTACCTAGTGAGTAGCAAATCAAGTGCAACAGCAACAAATTAATTAATTCCTTCAGTATTCTCTGCTCTGTGCTACAAACTGATGCAACTCCTAATACACAAAAGACAACGGAAAAAACCAGTTTCAGAACCATATGACAAATAGTTCTGCCCAAAGGATTCAAGAAAACTGACAGAGGCCCTGATACAGAAACATTTAATAAAACGACACAGAGATTTTGCATAGGAAACCTTTAAGCCAAGCTCTTCAAGTTCTAATTAGGTGTTGCTAGAATATTTACCTGACTTTTCAGAAGCCTTTGCCCCTGTACACTCCAAGTTAAGTAGCTCATCAAGAGCAAGTTTAGCTGCATTTAATTTAGATTCCTTCTTGTTTCTTCCCAGTCCAGTCTTGTAGCAAACACCATCTACCACAGCACAAAAGGCAAAATAAGGCCTTATGATATTGCCTTTAAAGGAGAAAAAAAAGCAGACACAATTAGTAAAAGTATTTTATCCATAGCTTTATGTGCTTATATTCATTCCAAGGACAAGTACAAGACAAAAAGACAATTTTAGGAAAATACAACTCAAACCTTTCACCTCCACAAGAATTTTGGCAGCTTTCACTTTATGCACTTTTCACAAAGTTCTGGTAGCAGCCAGATTTGTATACAATTCATCTGATCAAATTCTGTGGTAATTAATTGTGAGACACAGCTGTGTAGACCATAAAAGGGCAGCCAAAAAGCAACATACATGGAGGGTAGTGCAACCAGCAGTAAAAAAAAATTCATCTGTATTAGTGCCATCAATACTAACTGCAGACATTCAGATCACCTCAAGGATAAGCAAATATTACTTTATTTAAGAAAAGAAGTATTTACCTGCCACACTAGTTTCTTTCAATTCAAGCTGTACATGGTGCATTTGTGCAAACTGATGCAAGGCAGATACTGGGTTTATTACTCCCTGTTCGTACCTTGCAATAAACTCCTCTAGGTCCTTCTTTGGAGGAAGTGCTGATAATGGGGCTGCTTTCAAAAGAAAAGGTTCTGAAACAAAATCAAGAAAAGAACTGAACACACTCTCCGACAGTTTAAATCTGTTTACAATAAATGCTTTTTAGAAGAACAAAAAGCAAAAATATTCACTCTAGAGCAGTATTGCTTTGTACTGAATCCTACATTAACAATACTAGCAATTCTGAAACGGTGTGTACCTCCTCTTTTAAAAGCATCAAAGCTTTTACTTTGAGTACTAAATCCATTAACCTCTGAATATAGACAGATATTACATGTAAATACAACATATATTCCCCCTCCCCTCCAAACCAGTGATCAAATGAAAGTTGCTGATGGCAGATTCAAAACAATGAAGCATGTGGTTTTCCACACAAAACTATGAAGCAGTGGAACTCCCTGTCATAAGACGCTACAGAAGTTTTAGCAACCACATACATTATTCAAAAAGCAGATAACTCATTCAAAGAAAAAGAAACCCACCCACAAAGAGCTGCTGAATACAGAGACAGCACCTCTGGCCGAGGTGGCCAGGACAAATCACGGGGAGAGCTGCACTGCACACCCACCCTGATCCTGCAGGTCCCCCCCATGCCCACAATTAACCACACTTGGAACCAGGACAGCAGGTGGGTGGATATTTCATCTGTCCTAGCACAGAGCCCTTATGCTCTTCAGAAGGCAATGTGAAGCAAGTTAGTCAAGTCATAAGAGACTTCTATAAATTCTGAGTAGTAGTCCCGAGGCAAACCCACACTTTCTGAATTTCATTCGAAAGACAAACTCTTCCAAGCAGCATGCTGTATCTGGACAGTTGTCTTCGACTTGGAGGTCTCCTACAGATTAACCCATTAACATTTCCTGCAGCATCTACTTTTGTGAAGGAATGGTGTGTTCTTTTAGATTTAAGAGAAAAAATGAAATTTTTTTCCCCGTATCAACTCTAGGATGGATGGAATCTTCAGCTTCAGGGTTGCCATATACTCAGGCACAAGTACCTCCCAGCCAAGAAGAACTAAAATAGACTGTTATCTCCAAGTCTTATAAATAGGTGCCTTTACTTCAATACAGCTAGTCGAAGAGACAGAATTCGAAATACATCCTGGGACATCTGGAACAGCAGTTAAAACTCTTCTCAATGATCTCTACGAAAATTCATGCAGCAGAACATATCCTATATTTTGGGAACCTCTGCAGCACTTGTAATGTGTAACTTGGAATTTATAATTACGAAATGCTGCAGACTATATAGCCCACCCTACAAATCTGCAGTACGAAAGGACATAGGAAGAGCAACAAGTTGGAGCAGATGCTAAAGAAGTCATTTAAGAAAATACAGCTATAAGAAAAAGCAGCAGAGGGTTGCAACCTTTCAAAAAAGAGAAAATCATAACAATACTTTCACCAGCATTAACAGTGTATTTTAATAGCTAATCCCAGTGGATAAACTGAAAACTATACCTGGATTTTGCGTCACCTTTGGTACAATGCACCTCTCGGAAGGTAGAAGTTTTGGCCTTACAGACTGAGAAAGCTTGTTTAACGGTAGCTGCCTAGGAGGCCAAGCTGGCAAAGTCTTCTTTCGTGTGGAGTCAAAGGTGGATATTCCAGCACCCTGACACCAGCCATTGCTGCTAGTCATTTTTGATCAACCTAAGTTTAACAGTAAAGTTACAAGACGTTAAAGGCCTGCTGCAAACTCCACTTTTCTTAGTTAAGCCGTTTCACAAGAGCACTATGAACAACTCGCACTCTGCTTCCCTACAGACTGGGGAGAAAGAACTGAGACCCAGCGTTCTTCCAATCCCTCCCCTTTCCCAGCTGGCACAACGAGGTTCAAAGCCACTTCTCCGGTTAGTTAACCACCTTCCCGCACGCTTTAAAGCAAGACTTCATGCGGCTCTGCGCCTCCTCTTGCAACCAGCTCGAAGGACAAGACAACCCCCCAGCTGGCTCTCGAGGGAGCGAGGCAAAAACTAAAGCGGCAAAGCTGATCCCCCTCAAGTTTCCAGGATTAGCTGGCGCTGGAGTTGAAAGCTTTGGTACCTGCTCTCCTCTCCCCCTCATATGCTGTGAGAAAACCCACACCTGTTGGGCTCGGCCGCCCTAACCGTCCCGCTGCGGGCGGGCCGGAGCTCTCACACCCGACGGGCAGGTGGAGCACGCCTGAGGTGAAAGGAGGGCCGAGGCGCGAAGGCTGCACGGGAGCTCCCCGCGGCCGCCGAGCCGCCGCCGCGCCGGCCGGCCCCCC